CAATTTAAAATATTTGTGACAAATCGGATTTCCCAAATTCATGAATTGACAAATAATGATAACTGGCACTATGTTAAAACAGGGGAAATTCAGCTGATCTTCTTTCGAGAGGTGTAAGTCCTGGTGTCCTTATTAGTAGTGAGTTATGGTGGTCAAACCCACAGTGGTTATCACTTCCTGAAAATAATTGGCTTGGGTGTTCACCTAATGTTAGTCCTTCAGACATTCCCGAAAAAAGAAATGTTACTTATTTAACTGCAACCTTCACTGTAGGTGTTGTTTAATTTGAACTTTTCAACAGGTTTTCTTCTTTTAGGAAACTACAAAGGGTGATTGCTCACTGTATTCGTTTCATCAGTAATTGTAAAGTTCCAAGAAATGAAAGACAATTTGATAACTTGAGGGCGAAAGAATTAAATGCTAGTCTAACAAACCTAATAAGGATAGTTCAGAATATTGAATTTGAACAGGAAATAGAGGATTTGACTAATTCAAAACAAATATCTTCTAATAGTAAACTATTACGGCTTAATCCATTTGTAGACAAACAAGATATTTTAAGAGTAGGCGGTAGGCTAAGGAACTTAGATTTTTCCTATGATAAAAAATACCCTGCTTATACTACCGGCCAAACATAAGTTAACCATATTACTTGCTGAACATGAGCATTTTAGATTACTGCATGCGGGCCCTCAAATGCTCTTGGCTTCTATTCGAAGAAGATTTTGGCCAATCTCTGGTAGAAATTTAGTTAGGAAGGTGGTTAGATCATGCAGAAAGTGCTTTACATTTGATGCCTCTGTTATTTAACATATAATGGGATATTTACCATCACAACGCATAAAGCCAAGTAGACCATTTTTAGCATGTGGCACTGATTATATGGGACCTGTTCTTGTTAAGGATAGGTTAACTAGAAACTTCAAAACAGTAAAGGGATGGGAGTGCCTTTCTGTATGTTTATCCACTCGGGCTATCCATCTCGAAATTGTTGGCGATTTATCTTCTAATTCATTCTTGGCTTGTCTACGTAGATTTTTTGCAAGGAGGGGCATGAAATCAAATATTTATTCGGATCATGGCACAAACTTTATAAGGGGTCAAAACGAAATTCATAAACTCTTTAAAAGGGAATACAGTAATATCCAATTCAAACTTAGCGAGGATGGTATAAAGTGGCATCTAATACCTCCTAGATCTCCACATTTTGGGGGTCTATGGGAAGCGAGGGTAAAATCTAAAAAGTTCCACCTTAAACGAGTTATTGGTTCTACTCCGCTAACGTTTGAAGAATGTTCCACTGTCCTCACTCAGATAGAGGCTTGTTTAAATTCTAGGCCTATTTCTCCTCTAGCCCTAATCCTTCAGATCCACAACCATTAACTCCTGCGCACTTCCTTATTGAAGAAGAATTAACCAGCATTCCTGATGAAGACTATTTTACTGTACAGGGTGATCCAGTATAAAGTGAACACCCCCTACCTTTTCGCTAAAAAAAAAATTTTTCAAAAAATCAAGTTAGCCATTTGGTGTATTTTTTTTCTAGGTGTTCGAGAACATCTTTCGAAATTTAATTAGATTTTTCGTTAAAGCGCTGTGACCAAAAAAGTAATTTTTTTAAATGGAATAGCCTATATTTAAGTCAATTTTTTAAACGTCCCTATTTTTCTTATTTCAAATATATAGTTGGTTTATCTTTATTCTAAAAATTTGCGATATATTCTCACTTCAAAATTCACATAAAAATAGCGGAAAAGGCATCATAAAACATAATCACCAGCAGCTTTATTAAAGGTAAACTTATTTAGATTTACCTTGATTTTTTATATATTTTTTCCATAATAATTATTCTTTGTCCCAAACTTTAGGTAACTTTTAAACAATTCGAAGTCTTTTTTATAGTTATCAAAATAATTGTTTTACGCAAAATTACCGTTTAAAATGTTTAATATCTTAACTGGTGGTGCCATCTATCGACATTGTATAATATTAAAAATATGTATTATAATGAAAATCTGTATTATAATGAAGTTCATTATGATACATCTTTTAATCGTTTAATAGCGTATTATGAAATGTCAGTAGAAAAATAAATTTTATTTTCTACTTAACTATTATAGATCCATAATGCCTATACCTATAACAACTTGAGGACATTATAAGCCCAGCGGGCGTTATGATCTATAACGCCGCTTTTAATACCGTGAGGTGTTTTTTTTGTTGTTGTTTTATTAATTTGCACTTTACCCTAAGTAGCCACTAAATGTCTGACCGAAAATAATTTTCGGCCAGGATTCGAACTCGGTCTACCATCAACATTTCCCATGTAGTCGAGTGCGTTAACCCACACGACCACCGTTGCTGCCTTATGAGATGTTGTATTAGGTATTTCTTCTTTCTCTCTTCTGTACACGGGTTGATCGGATCTGCGGGCTGGAATACGGACAGGGCAGCTCTGCTCCTTCCGTGACAGAATAAAGGACGCTACGGACTGGTGACAGGGTGGCGCTCTTTATTCTACACATTTCTTCTTTCTCTCTTCTGTACACAGGTTGACCGGAGCTGCGGGCTGGAATACAGACAGGGCAGCTCTGCACCTTCCGTGACAGAATAAAGGACGCTACGGGCTGGTGACAGGGTGGCGCTCTTTATTCTACACATTTCTTCTTTCTCTCTTCTGTACACGGGTTGACCGGAGCTGCGGGCTGGAATACAGACAGGGCAGCTCTGCTCCTTCCGTGACAGAATAAAGGACGCTATGGGCTGGTGACAGGGTGGTGCTCTTTATTCTACACAGTCCTTCTTTCTCTTTTCTGTGCACGGAGTGACCGAAACTGCGGGCTGGAACACATACACAGGGCAGCTCTGTTCATTCTGTGACAGAATAACGCATGCTACGGGCTGGTATCAGGGTGGCGCGCCTTATTCTACACAGTTCTTCTTTCTCTCTTCTGTACACGGGTTGACCGGAGCTGCGGGCTGGAATACGGACAGGGCAGCTCTGCTCCTTCCGTGACAGAATAAAGGACGCTATGGGCTGGTGACAGGGTGGCGCTCTTTATTCTACACAGTCCTTCTTTCTCTTTTCTGTGCACGGAGTGACCGAAACTGCGGGCTGGAACACATACACAGGGCAGCTCTGTTCATTCTGTGACAGAATAACGCACGCTACGGGCTGGTATCAGGGTGGCGCGCCTTATTCTACACAGTTCTTCTTTCGCGCTTCTGTGCACGGAGTGACCGGAACTGCGGGCTGGAACATAAACAGGGCAGCTCCGTTCGTTCCGTGACAGAGTAAATAGGGCTACGGGCTGTGATACGTACCAGGGTAGTGCTCTTTACTCTTCACACCTATTCTCTCTGACCTGCATTCTGCTCGGAGTAAGAAATTCGCGCACGAGGCCCAAAGGCCTAATCCTGCAAGCTGACGGTGTAGATACTGGACCGATCCTGGTTCCTGGCGCTTTCTTTTACCGATTAACCGTTACCGTAACCGTCACCGTACCGTAATCTCGAACCGTTAAATTCACGCGACTAATCCGACACGCACACGCACTTCATTCGCCCCCCCTCACTCTCCGCTTAGCATTTCTTTTTATTAAACCTGTATCTTAATTAAGTTTTCTTACATTTCCTTTTTGTATTATAAATTATTGGGTAGTCAATAAAAACTACTTTCTTGGTTGGATTGTGTGTTTCATTTTTGGGAAATGCGTAGGGACACCTGGTTTTCCGTCTCCACTGTTTAAAAGCTACCTAGAGCACGTGGACCCTTAACCACATTAATCCTAAGGGTGGCGCCCGAGTTTTCCGAAAATTCCGAAATCAACCGCTTTCTTACCGGAAAACCAAAGTGGCGCTACAATGTTTATAGATGTATTAAACTGTTTCGTTTCTAGATACAGGTACATGTCAAAATACAAAACAATATTCTGTCACAAAAGTTTAACTGATTTTGTTTGATACTAAATTGAGGAAAGAACATATGTTGAGTATCAAATAAAGCATTGTATGCACCACGGGGATTTTTAGATTATAATCCCACTCAGGCGAAATATATCCCTCAGGCCAGGCGCCCTCGGGCTAGTTTCGCCTTCGGGCATTATAATCTACATAATCCCGTTGGTACATAAATAGCTATAATAATTCAATCAAGCAAAAAACTTCACGTGTGTATTTATTTACAACACGAAACAATTGCCTTTTTTATACATTAGGTCTCGGATTTCAGTGTCGTTCTCATCGTCTCATCTCATATTAATATCTCTTTTGTATGTAACCGACCAGTTCTTCCAAGGCAGATGTTATTACGGTCTTTAGTATTTTTCAGTGCTCTTCAATGCTTCCCCCGGGTACTCCAACGCAAGTTTCTGGCTTAGAGAGGATTGGAAGTTTGTCCTGATATGATCGTCTTGAAGGCATTCTATGTTAAATTTGCGTTTGATCTGTTTTTGTTTTATATCTAAAGCTTGGGTGGAATGCGCAGGTTCGTCCGATGGTCTGTCCAGCAGTAGTTCGCACTTTCTAATAAGAAATGTGGTCGAAGGTAAAGTAAACATATAGAACTCACGTTCCAAGCAATTATACATTCATGAAATTACGCACCTGAGCTTGTGCGTAATATGCTACATACTAGCTTACCATAAACTTCCACGTAGATACGTAGTATTTGCTAATTCTAGAACACAAATTGAGTACTGAGCTGAAATCAAGTTGATTTTTTAATTTATATTTAAAGTAACTAATCTGATAAATATATTGTGCCTCTCAATGACTATTGGTGTATCTATCTAGCCTGCTTCAAGCTAGCAAATTTAAATAAACTAAAAATCTGGCCCAAGTTCAAAAAGATAGAAAATTTATCCTTTCCAGACATTATTGTGTATCAATTTAATTTAAAAAGAAAAACACCGTTTTAGTTTCAAATATTCCCCATATATCTCACGCCTACATCACCTCAAAACAATCCAAATCCATAAAATGTGTCCTCTTTGTTCCAGATTACGGCCGCCGGGAAAGCAGTCCTAATAACTGGATGCGATTCTCGTATAGCCAGCGCCCTCGCACGTTACCTCGACGAACAAGGATTTACGGTTTTTGCAGGATTCCAGAATCTGGAAGAGAGCCAAACAGCTGTAGAATTGAAAGAGATTTGTTCGGCTAGATTGCACGCTCTACAGCTAGATGTCACCAACGAAACGCAAATATTATCAGCTTCGTTGAGCGTTGTAGAAAATTTGCCAGATGGCGCACACGGATTATGGGCTGTTGTTAATGCTGCTTCTTGGGTGGCTTTAGGAGAAATTGAATGGATTCCACCACAGGTAAGAAAAAAGTTTTGTCTGGAGGAGGAAAGAACAAATTATTATTTCAAAGAATGTGCAGGAGCTTAGGAAGTGACAATTTTTTTTTCTACAGCTTGGCCAAATTCGATAAAATCGTAATGGGCAAAAATTATGTTTACAAGTAGATATTTATATAAAAAAGCTGCAGCTTGAAAGACAATTTTTATTACTGCAACCTGGGATACACAAAATGTATTTATATTAAAAACAAAAATGACTATCTACAAAGTTGCACAAGGTTCATTTTCTCTGATTTCTATCATCCTGAACTGCAGGCAGGCATTATGTTCAAAATTGGAAAAGTTTACTATTTTGAATGTAATTATAACCTACATTTTATTAACTAACCTACTGCTAAACGCTAAACTAAATGAAAGTTAAATTAAATGTCATTTTGGAGCTTTTAATCGTTACCTAGTTGATTTTTGGTTGCGGTAACAGTTGCATGCGTTTCGTATTTTGTATTTTTACGGCAACACCAATTAAAATATAAACCCAGAACAATTGGAGTAATGACAGCGCAATTGCCGTAGTATTATTGAATAATAATTAAATGTAATAGTTTTCGCAGTATAGGGATCACAGCTGTGAAAATGTCTAAGCGACCTGTTCAAATAAAAATAGTGGTACGGGAAAAAAGAGATACCTACATTGGACAATAAGCTATTGGATGATTTCTAAGAATTTGTGTTAAAAATATACAAAAGAAGAAGAAAATCCTACAGAACTTGATCAATTATATTTTTGTTTCATCAAAACCTACTAATTTTTCTATCGATGTAACATTCAAGCATACAAGCCTAACTGTCACAAAACGAAATTACAACTTGCTATCTACCTATTGACTCGCGTTTCACTAATTATCCAATCATTAACTTATTCGCGTTCAGTTCTCAACTAATGGGCTCTTTCACCAAAATTTAAATACGTAATCTTAAATGAGGGACTATTTCAGGTACCTATATTTGCCGAAAAAAAATTATGTACGAGCCTAAATGAGTTTTCTACAGGCACTTCAAAAGTGAAAAAATTTGAAATTCTTAAAACATCTTCTGCCAATTAAATATAAGAAGACTCCATCGAGTCCATCGCCAATAGCACACAGCTGTTCTGGTGGCCGCTGGCTTGAAGCTTTGATTACGCTGTTACCAGTTGTGATAATATGATAATAATTCAAAAAATGAATGTTATAAACCCTTGAATCCCTAAGCAATTAAGTTAACAATTTTTCTTATTATTTTGCCAACATTTCAAAATAAATATATCACAAAATTTCTGTGCTGCAACACTCTCAAAATGCAAGTTGTGACGTTAATTCCGTGTTTTTATTTAGAGATTTTTTTTTTAATTTTTTTTCTCAATAAGGACTCCAAGTTTTTCAAAAGTAAGGGAGCAAAAAATTTAATTTTTAGATGCTTCATCCAATTATGCCAATTTCAGAAATCAGTGAAAGAGCCCATTCTGGACACATTGACTTTCCTTCACCGGTCGACCATAGAGAAACAGACCAAAAAGAGAGTAGCGAATTAAACGAGAGAGATCGGCACCGCTGTATGCCTGGTAGCGCCTCCGTGAGCTACAGGATGAACTAAACTTGTGGGACGCATGGCGGGAAATTTAAATTGGTACTGAAGATTATTCGGTTTTAATGGAAATACCTAATTCTTTATCAAGCTAGTTTTATTGAGAAAATTATTAGCGGCATTTTTCAAGCAATAATGAAATAAATAATAACTCTTAAAATATAAATAATATAAACAAAATCTGAATTTTTCAAGTAGTAATGAAATAAAACAATAAACTCTTGTAATACGAATAATATCAACAATAGTAATGAAATTAATAATAAATAACTCTCCAAATACAAAAAATGTGTGATAGAAAACGAAAACATTGAACTATCCTCAGTCTAACAATAATAAAAATAAAACAATAAGTATAATGTAATTATTTATGCAATATAAAAAAATACAACACTGACCTGACACATAATGAGGGCTCTCGAAAGCCCTTTGTTTACATTTCTCATATTACAATTGTTGAATAAATGGAAAAATAGAAAATTATTTTTTTCAATATTTTTCCTAGAAGTGAACTGAGGTTATGTTTATCTACGTAAACAACAGCTGTCAGTTAATATGGAAATATCTACTGTTCTGTCTCCTTCTTCTTCTTCTGTAGTGCTTCAATGTTGCTAGAATGAGACGGAAACGAGCACGTAGGTCGAATCCCGACGCGATAAATAAATGGACAACTTTGCGACGTCTGCGTTGCGCTACAGGCATAAAGGAATGCGGTGCTGATCTCTCTCGTTTAATTCGCTACTCTCTTTTTGGTCTGTTTCTCTATGCGATCGACTCTCTTTTGTATCGCATCGTCGCCCCTAGAACTATCTAGATAATTCAGTTCCGTTCGTCTCAAATTCACTGGACCATTGCGCCGTAAAATTTCATTCGCGAATTTTCTAGCCATCCGGCAATGTTGCAGGATTGTGCACAAGTATTGTCGGCTCTCTGCAATCGAGAACGGAATCTAGATCTTTTCTCCCGCTTGTCCATTCGATTGGCACCTGATACATCGATAAGAATGAAACAGTGGCAATATTTATTTAATCCATGAAATTAGTTAGGAAGGAACCTAGGCTTTGACTTCTTATCTTCTGCAACATTTGATTTGAGATATCAAATGTGTTCGGGTTTTGTTCTCATCTAATCATGGAAAATTATCTGCTCCTATTATCATTCACCTTATAACTGGAGAATTGAGCGCTAAAATTTGCTCTAACCTAAAAATAGGCGATATGCGCCTCCCAAGTCTCACAAGTTCACTTGAATTTATCCCACTAAAACCCTTCCCCATCATCTCCGGAAAGCCGCGAGACACTACCTACTACAGAGAAATTTCCGTAGTTCTGTTCTGCTCTTTCTCTTTTCTTCTCCTCCTCGCACTACTCCTTCATAATATCTCTCAGCATATCTACGATACATACCCAATGTTTCTCACTGGTGACCACTGAGACGTCAGCGATGTTGTCTTTGGTGACTGCTTCACCGCATGCTGTTGTTGCCAGTTCTCTTTGTATGTTGAACTTGAAGCAGTTAAAGATTGTGTGTTCCGGCGTGTCTGTGCCTTGCAATACCAGCACTCCTAGCTTTCCCGTTTCCTGAACCTCTTCTGATATGACCCAAAAGTGCCATGTCCTAATAAAGCATATGTGTGCCACAATGTATACACTGTGTATACACAGATGTACCAGCGTTTCGTGAAGGCAAGCAGTGTTTTATTTTGAGTTCTGGAATTTTGATGTTTTTAGTGCTTAAAATTAGTAAATAAATTGTGATTTTTTCAGCATATGTGATTTTTAATGTGTATAATCGATGTAAGTAATTTGCAAAAAGTTTGAACAAGCCGTCTAGTGGCAAATTAGAGTTTAATTGCAAACAATAAGCAAACGCAAACAAAACGCAAACAAAAACTTATCTGCTGTAAATAACAATAATTGTGGCAGTGCATGGGACCGTTTTTGTCAGTGTTTGAGAATTTGAATTTGTTTGTTCTTTAGAGGTTCGATAAGGTAAACAAACTTTAATCTTGGATGTTTAGTCCCGGCAGATTGAACTTTTATGACTGACCGCATTTGTTTATTTTTTTCGACAAAAGCGACCTCAAACTCTATAATCATAGGACTGACTGATAGTCCGGGCAAATTAGAATTGACAGATCATGCTCAAAGTGTAAATCTGCACTAAGTGAAAAGGAGATCAAGTATAAGATGGTGTGTGATTTCTGTAAAGCCGTTCATTGCTTGGAATGCTCAGGCTTTACTACCTCGGAAGCTCAGGTCACCCAAATGAAGTCTAGAATCATGTTGTTTGCTTGTCACGAATGCATTCATGCAATCCTTATGGCCAAGTCTGACGACGGTGCACTATACAGGGATAGGGACAGGCTGCATGAGGTCGAAACGGCAAAATTGAACTTGGAGATTGAATATCTGAAAAAGTTGTTAGAGGGGCTGGCTGACAAGAGCAACATTCTGAAGCAAAGCAAACGATTCTTGGATGAAAAGATCCATACACTGGAGACTGATATAAAAGTGGGAAGACAGGCAAGGCAGAAGTCTTCTCATGGAGATAGGGCAGAGACCAAATCGATGGACAAACACCTGAAGTCTGCCTGCCACCTATCTAATACCTCTGACGAAAAAGATGGATGCTATTCTGAAGAAGAAGTAGGTGAACAGATAAATGAAAAAGCGAATGATTTTCAAGTGGCTTATATTAAAGGGAAAAATCGTAAAAACTTTGGCACCGGCGAAACAGACCCAAATTTTGAAGGTGGTGATAGACGGGCATGGTTCTATTTGAGTAGAATTAAGAGAACCGCAACAGAAGAGGCAATCAAGGGATACATTCAAAAAAGGCCAGGCTTCGAGAATGTTCAAATTATGGTTAAGGAGATCTCTACGGAGGAACATCGGTTCCCAATCTCATAGACTTTTCGCCTCTCCTCGACCAATAGATCGATTGGCGGAAGTCCGGCCACCGCCTCGACCGCCGTTGTGGGCACCGTTCTGTACGCAAATGTGATGCCAATGGCTATTTTCCTGTTGACCCTACTCAATATGTCACGGTAATACTTGCATCTAAGTATATGACTCCAAGCTGGCGTGGCGTACAATATGGCCGATGTCACAGCGCCAGCTATAAGCATTCTATTCCTAGTTTCAAGACCAGTGTTCTCGGCATATTCCTGACTAGAACGTTCATCATCTGGCTGCCCTTGTCCGCAGGTTTTTGTCTAATGAGACCCAGGTATCTCACCCAATCCGACGATGTTACTATTCATCCTCAAGCTGGCTGAGTTTTGGCCTTAAAATTAAAGTCTACACAACTCCCATTTGACCTAACCTGAGAAAAGTCAGTCGACTCTCAATAAAGTTTAGTTCACATAACTTTCGCTTAAATTTTCTCTCACCAGAAAATGGTCCTTGATACTTTCAATCTACGCAGCTGATACTCTTGATGATAAAGTGAAACCAACTTAGGAACTGAACTAGTTCATAGATGGGCGTTGGGCAAGTCTTCTCAAGTATAAGTCTGAAAAAATATTTCCTATTATGAATATAGAGCAAATCATGCTGAAAACTATGTAGAATAGTGGATGTTTCCAAATTAAAATTCACTGTATTTTGTCAGTAAATAAAACGAAATAAGAAAGGCAATTTCCGTTGCATTTCGCAGCCGAAAAAGGACAAAACAATATCTACGCTTAACCGTTTCTATATGGTGATGCTGGATAAGAGTAGACAAATAAATAGGAATATGTATTATTATTATCATTTTCTTCAAAGTAATTCCATAATGTATCTATTTTTTTCTAATTATAGATACTTTGTATAGTTGAAAATGTTGATTCATTTTTTTTTTTTTTTTTTCTTAAATCTGGCATGAATCGAAAAGATATCGATGTATTAATTTCTTTCTTGTTGAGATAAAAAAGTGGATACTCAATGAGATTAAAATAATAACTACTGAGGTAATGTCATATTATCATTCACCTAAATATCAGATGCTGGTTTTCAATTAAGTCGTAGCAATATCTAGTACAATAATCCAGGAATTCAAATGGATTAGGCGGAATATTCGGAATATTCCATTTGGAAATTATTCAGAAATGATTCCCGATAGTCTCCTTATGTACATATATACAGAACAATAATTATTGAGCTTTTGTGGTTACCACAAAAGACCTATTTAGACTGTAGAAATTATAAGTTATCGAAAATGTTGTTGAATTGTAGAGAACGAACGGTGGCTGAAAAAAGGATAACAAAGAAATAATAGAGATAGGCAAATCAAACTAGAATCTAGCACCTCCATTTTGTTCCATTCACCAAGAAAAACTTACATTATTATTATTTTGCTCTACATCGGGTTTTGCCTTATGGGATACATATTTCAAAGTTTATACATTGCGGTTTCAGCCTTGTTCGAACTTGAAAGTTTTCGAGGTACCTTGTAATATCTACTGTACCTATTCATTAAATTATACGACTCCCTATTTGCCTAGATATTCACCTTATTTACAATATAATAAAGTTAGTGCTCACTGAGGAATTATCCATTATTTCACAACTAAAAAAGCAAAAGAGAATTTTCCAAAAATAATAGATAGTTCTTGTGCTGTCCAAATTTCAAATACCGTAACATTATTTGACAAGTATGACAGTTCTTACGGTGTTAGCGTTAGCGGAGTCCGCTACCTAACGGGAGTTAGCGGATGCCTTACCGTAACACCATGTTATGTCAAAATTAGTTGACGCTCCATTTACGTCTGCAAAAATAGCAACTTCTAATAATTCCTGTATAAAAAACGCCAAGGGAAAATTAACGAAACTTCAGAATAAATAGAAGTTGGCAAACAAGAAAAAAAAAAAATGATTAGATCACTCAATTCAGCTGTCAAATTGTAAACAGAATAAGAGATTAGAGGATTTTTGTGTCTTCGTTTCCGAGAACTATAAAATACCATTTAAAATACCGTATTGTTAGTGTTGCCGATATTTGCGTAGCGTCTGAGGCACGAGAACTTTCTAATAAATTGAATTGCATAGCTCAAGCTGCTTAACTTTTGTATTACTATTTTTGATAGCTTAAAACTCCCTTAACTTCCTGAAAGTTATTCGGCTGCCTAAAGGTGTAGCATTTACTTACATACCTACCTGGTTAGAACCCATGCAATTTCCTGCAAGTTTCAAAAATTTAATAAGCGCTGAATCCAGGGGCGTCCATAGGGGGGGGCAAATGGGGCACTTGCCCCCCCCCCTAGGCTTGAAGATTATTATTGTTTCATGATGCTACCATTGCTACCAGAAGAATAAAAAAAACAGAATAGCAAAATAGATACTAAAAGTTGCTTACACAATAAATAATAATTGTCAAATTGACATTCTTTCTGTGCAATGTGTGTTTATTTTTCAAAATGACGTCATTACAAATGAGTACAGTTTAGACTGCTTATGTTCATTCAGTAGACATTCAGTAATATACGTATGGTTACCTATTGGCCGTCGTTTTTTATCTGACACTTTCCGTATGAGGAGCGAGGGGGTGAAGCACATGGCAGAAACCACATAAAAACGGGTGTGACGTCAGGTAACCATTAACGTTTTAACATAGGGAGTCACCAGCTCACATTTTTTTGGAGTATCAGATTAAAAACGACGGACTTTACTTAAATGGTTTTATTTACGATTGACATATAATGTAAGTATTATATTTGTGATATTGGCAGTATAATGCCATATTTTATTCCCGCGAGGGATTAATGGTCATTATTGTCGTAAATAAAGTAAAGTATACTACTCGCAATAATGGCTATTATTCCCTCGAAATATTACTCCCTCGCCGCTAACGCGGCTCAGTTCGTAAATATTTCTCGGGAATAATAGCTATAATTATTGACTCGTGGTATAATCTAATATTATTTAAAAACTAAAAATAAGTCAAGTTTTTGCCCCCCCCCCCCCCTGAAAAATATTCTATGGACGCCCTTGGCTGAATCTAAATAGGCATTTCAGAATCCTTCAAGGAAATACTTGGGATATTTGAATCCTGGGAAAACAACGTTCAAATATAGCATCAAAAATTTTAATTTTAATTTAAATTTAATTATGTTTTCTCATTCTTATCATTGCCTCTAAAGTACCTACCGATTCTTGATATAATTATCTATAAAATATAAAGTGTTCTATTTGCGTATTTCCATTGAATTGAAGTGCAGCACCATTGTGCAGCCTTTTTGAAGAAAAAATAATGAAAAATAAAAAACGAGATTTCGCGTAAAGCCGTTTCTCTCGCCTTCTTCATTTGGGGGAGGTTTTCTCACTTTCTGATAAACTGTCAAATAATCTGACGGATAGAAACGCAATCTGTAATTGCATTGGTCAGCTAGTTATCCGCCGACCAATAGAATTATAGAACGTTAAATTTATCTTGCAGATAGTTTATGTGAAGATGAATAAACCGGGCGGCATTTTTTCGTTTCTTATTTGGTTACCGCTACATAGAGCGCTAATTATACAGGACTTGTTAAATTATATCTGACGTCGCGTTTCCTATTAGAACAGCGCACACCCTCTGCGATCGTCAGACATCCATTGCACTGCAACCTATTCCATTACCGTTTTCATTTTTTGAGGTTAATTGTTTTCAGGTGGGGCAATAATTTTGTAATATTTCTCGTTATTTCGTTTTATTATCTCTGTTGATTCTGCACTGAGAAATCCTCTAGCCAAAAATTCTTTACTGATGGATTTTCGGCTATCATAGCAGACATTTAAGCTGCAATTGCAAAACGATCTATTCTAGTAGTAGAACGCACTTTACTAAGTTTGCCAAAAGTACCTTGGTTGTAACAGTGAAGTTCTTCGCTGCCACAATTTTTTTTTTCCTGGAACAGTAGAAACACTTGTTATGAATGAGTATATTTTCTACAGCGACGAAGTGCTTGCCTGCAACTATGAAAAAGTTTTTCATAAGTTTTTTTTTTTAATTACTGTTGGAAAGAATTTTGCTGCTACAAAAAAAGTTAATCTCTGCGAGTTGTTTCATTCATTATTATTGAAAACCAATCCAATGTCAAAAGTCATGTAACAGCATGGTTGGCAAAATGAGCGTAGTTATTTAATTTATGTGCATTGGTCTAACAGGAAACGCGACGTCAGATATAATTTAACAAGTCCTATATGATTTCCGCTCCATGTAGCGGTAGACTATGTGCGCTGGCCTAATAGGAAACGAGATGCCAGATATAATTTTAAAAATTCTAAAGGATTAGCGTTCCATGTAGCGGTAACCAAATAGGAAACGGAAAAATCCAACCGGGCGTTAATGTATTTAAATATTAATTTAAACTAAACGCCGAGGGCTCTGAGTTTTATAAAATGGCAAATATACATAGAAAAATCGCTATCAGGCAATATGAAATTTTGGGAGAACTTGTTAAAGAGCCCAGAGTCCAATGCCTACATTTATTTTATTTTAAAATAGATTAATTTATCGTCACAATAAAATTTTATGGGGATGGTACATTAGCGAGACGTTCAAAACCATTTTATTATGATTCAAAGTTTAATAAAACTAAAACTGTAACGCCTACGATAAAATATGTGTCCCAGGTGGCATAAGTAAAATTACTTCTAAAGTTTTGGTTTTTTTATGACTGATAAATAATGAACTAAATTTGTAAGTAGACACAAAAATTTGTTTCATCGTTATTTTATCAGTAGTCATAGACACTTATCAATTTTACTTATAATCATTATTAAATCTGTAAAGTTTCTCATTAAAAAAGAATGGCTCGACAGAAAGAAAACAAGAGCAAAAAACAAAAAGCACTTTGCAGTTAGAAACCGGAAAATATTGATAGATCGTTAGTTTTGTGGCTCCCAAAAATAAATTGATAAATAGAGTGACAGTTAGAACTTTCCAAGAAATTAAATAAATGAAAATTTTTGAAAAATCTTACAGAAAGCAGCAATACATTTTGTTTGTTTTTTTGTAGGTCATCAAAAAAGCAACAGAAATGAACTTTCTTGGGCCAACAAGGGTGACCCAAATTATGCTTCCATTGGTACGTAGGGCAAGAGGCAGAATCATATACATGACATCTGGACTATGCAGAATAGCGGATCCAGTTAGGGGAATTCATTGCGGATTATTGGCGGCCATCGAATCTCAAGCTGAATGTTTGAGAAAGGAATTGAGGTAAGAATATACTAGTCTCTTCATTTCTCTCAAGAATAGATAATAGGTGCCTTTATACACTAGTCAAAACGAAAAAGGAGCCGCACTTCAGTAATTTAATATAACTTCTTTATTGCAAAGAGTTTTCCCAAATTACATGTGAAGCTCTCACATAAGCTTTGTTCTAACACACAGCAGGAAACCGTACAATGGGCCGTCACGATTCTGCGCAACGCCTGGACATTTTTATTAAATTCAATTTTTTTTTTTTTAATTAGATCTAGAGGTGTCGATGTTGTTGTGGTAGCCCCTGGAGAATTGACTTCTGGCAATACCTGGGTTTCGGACGAGATTATCTTGAGTCAAGCCAGGGAAATGTGGAAACAGTTGTGTCAAGAACAAAGACTTGAATATGGCGAGAAATATTTCGAAACTGCTGTCAGGAGCTTGGAAAAGTATACCAAATCACCGGTAAGTATTTATTAAATATCACCTGAAAAAAAAACATATGCAGCTACGCATGTATGCTGATGAATTTCTCAACATCTTTGGTTAAACCTTGCCAGGAGTATTTGTCTTTAATCCTTCTAACGGTTTCATTGATTCCACGATGTAAATTTGTTTTTCCAGTTTAATATTGGTCCAGGATAATTGGGATTTGGTCTGGGGGTTTGACGATATTTTGGCATATCTTAAGCTTAATGTCTTTTTCGGCAAATATAAAGGAAAATATTTCAAGAATAGGTAATTGCAGATTGTTTTCTATGCAAAAGGTTTTTTCAGGGTCAAATTCGTTTTGACACTTGAAAAGCGAGTAAAAGAGAGTAGGGACTATTTTCTCATTTTTGCAAGGAATGGGAATTATGAAGTATTTGCGTGCCTTTACAGATTTGCTGGATAAAATGTTAACCTGATTAGGTTGAAAATCGAAATTTTCCTCGAATTCCTCGAATCACCTATAATTTTGTAATGTAAGTCTGTTAGTTTGGTTTGCCAAAAGAAAGGTACAATATTTTTGTAAAACTTGTCCAGAAGTTGTAGTCAATAATTGATCTGGTTTTGTAGAGATTTACGAAAGAGTTTTATTCTTCCTCAATTAGGGTTGTTTCATCATTGTTTTCAATTTCGACGATTGGAATTTTTTGTTGTTGTTGACTTGGGCGGCTTCTTATATCGTCAATATCAGGTTCTTCTTTGTTAGAAGCGAGTATGTGAATTTTGGAGCCTAAATCTGAACAATATTTAATATGGTTTACTTTTATTCGAGATAGGACATCACGTTCTTATTGATTTTCTTAGGTTTATACTCGATTCGATAGTCGTATTCTCCGAGTTTCAAGTGTCAGAGAGCTAAACGACTTCCAGGGTCTGTAGCTGAGAAAAGCCAAGTTAAAGGGCGATGGTCTGTGATAAGGACAAATTTTCGACCAAAGAGATAAGGTCTATAATGTTTAACTGCCCACACAATGGCCAGTAATTCTCTCTCTATGGTAGAGTATTTATTTTCGGCATTGCACAGCGTCAGGCGCGTGTCAAACGGCCCCGCAGACCCCGCCACGCGGGGGGTCCCCGGTATATTGGGGGCCACGCGGGGGGGCCCCTGGTATATTGGGGGCCCCATACTCTAAGAAAAAGTAATACCTATGTATATCAAACATAATAATTGGTTATTTTTGGAAAATATAATAGTGACATAGGGGGCCTCAAAAAAAAGTTCGCGGGGGGGGCCCCCAAAAAATTTGACACGCTACTGCACAGCGTTCGAGAGGCATAGGCTATAGGGAGACCTTTTCCTATATGGCCTTGTGACAAAACTGCTCCGATGGCAGAAGCGCTTGCGTCGGTGGTTAATAGAAATGTCTCTTCAAAATTGGGATAGATCAGAATCGGGTCAGAAACTAGTGCGTTTTTCAATTCGTTGAATGCGGATATGCATTCTGGGTTGAAGTGAAATAGAACATCTTTCTGGAGGAGTTTTGTCAAGGGCTTTGATGTTTTAGCAAAATTGGGGATAAATCGACGATAATATCCTGCTAATCCTAGAAAGGATTTAATGTCTTTTGGATTTTTGGGTGTGGGGAAGTTTTGAATACAACTAATTTTGCACGGTTCGGTTTTACACCCACCGTCCTGAGTGATAAGGTGTCCCAGGTAAGCTACTTCTTTTCGAAGAAACTCACATTTGTCCGGCTGGATTTTTAAGTTAGCTTTACGGAGGTGTTTAAAAACTTCGGTTAGCCTTGAAATATGTTCGTGGATGGTAGGAGAGTAAACGATAATATCGTCCATGTAGACTAAGCATCTTTCGTTTGGAATGCCGAGGAGAATATTGTCCATGACTCTTTGGAATGTGGACGGGGCATTTTTCAATCCAAAGGGCATATATACGAATTCGTAATGGCCATTTTCTACGGAAAAAGCGATTTTCTTAAAACATCCTTGAGGTCTACTTCTATTTGGTGAAAACCTGAGGCTAAGTCAAGGGTGGTAAAATATTAACATTTTCCTAATTAATTCAGAAGATCGGAAATATCAGGCAGCGGGTATTTGTCATCTACAGTAAGTTCGTTGACTTTACGGTAGTCGATTACGACGCGCCATTTGAGTTTGCCAGAAGCATCAAGTTTCTTTGGAACGACCCAGACGGGAAAAGACCATGGAGATACAGAATGACGAATTATGGTCTAGCATTTTGGTAACTTGGGATTGGACTTCTTCTCTGTGGATTTGGGGGTACCTGTAAGATTTGGTATACAAAGGCTTTGCATTATTGGTGTCAATAGGGTGTTTAATCTCACTAGTAAATGTGAGGGTGTCACCTTCCAGTTAGAAAATGTCGGTAAAGTTCAGCAATAAGTTGGTTATTAGTTCTTTTTCTTCGTCGTTTAAATGTATTGTACGAAGTTCATTTTGTATGGACATTTGCCTATCATAAGTATCGTCATAGTCGAGGTTAGAGTTGTTAAAAATTAGAATGGTTTTTTGAGTTTCACTTTCTGAGACAAATGGTTCGATAGACAAGCTCCACGGTTTTTTCTATAGCGTTAATATTTATAATTGAGGTTAAAAATTCACCTTGTTCATTGACTTTTACTAAAGCACTAGGTAATTTGACTTTTTCTTTTCCTTAAAAAAAGAGTAACCTGCACCTGTGTTGTATTGATTACACTTCAGTTTAAAGATCTTTCCACTTCTAGCTTCTATAGATATTTTGTTAAGAATTGTTTGAGTGTTGTTTGGTTTTGCATTATTAGGGTAGTCATCTTCAGTAACTTTATGAAGAGGGATAGTTTACAAGTTTTTTAGTTTTCAAATCTATCATACATTGATAATGTTCTAGGAAATCCAACCCTAAAATTCCATCGAAATCAATATTCAAGTTGTAAATATACACTTTGTGAGGATCTTGGAGGGGGAACGGTACAAGTGTTGATTCGTGGATCTGGAGTTTTTGATCGGTGATACCTTGAATGGTTACGTTTTCTTCGAAACGATAGTGGAATTTATGGACAGTATTTCCTTTAAAAATTGAAATGCCTGGACCTGTATCAATAAGTACCTAATCTGAATTTATTGGAAGCATCATAAATGTAGTACAGATTTTTCGAATTAACAGTTAGAAGTCGGTTTAAAGAAATGCTTGTTCCCGAAAATTGAAGTTCGGATTCATGTTGTCTAGATTCAGAAGTTGTATTTGAGTCTCGATATTTGAAGTCTGATCTTGAGGGGTATTCTCTGGCGAATGGTGATTGGTAAAAGGTACCAGAAAATCCCGATAATTTTCAGCGTTCGGATCAGTAGTGAACTGTTCAGCATATTCGTTTTCTTCATAACTAGCATCTTGTTCATAATGAGGGCTTTCAGCGTACTCAAATTCGTTGGCATATGTTTCATTAGAGGAATCATTTAAAAGATAAGTTTTTTGCTGGTTAGGGTAAAAATTGGGGTTTCTTTCAGGGGTAGTTGAAGCGTATCTTGGTACGAATTGTTTCGAAGTAGATGCATTTTGGGTTCTATTTTGCGGAACATTGGTTGTTGGTTTGCGGTGCCTGAGTAGTTAGCTGTTATCGTTTTTTGGAAATTTTGATTTGGGTATTGAGTGAAGTTTGAACGACTGGAAGCTTGTTGTCTACATTGATTGGCTGTGTGGCCAATTTTTCCGCAAGAAAAGCATTTTATGGGTGATTGTGGTTTGTTGATCAAAACTTTTTGAACAGGAGTTTTTGGAATCTTCTGATTCTCAAAATAGGAAAGTTGGATTTATTTCTCTCCTGATTCTACATTGAGCATCTGAGAGAGTGTGTGGGCTTCCAGCTCTGATAATCTGGCCAAGGCGAGGTTCTAGGCCTTTAAGAAGAGTGTTTAGGGCCATAGATTCCACAAGGGAGGACTGTGCTTCTTTTTGATCTACTGTTTTAAGGTGTGGTGACTTTTGGATAGAAGAATGCATTTTTGCATTCAGTACTTGGAGTCTGTTGTAGAAAGTAAGGAGAGACTCGCCAGGTTGTTGTTTGAGTCGTCGGAGGTCATGGATAAGAGCTGAGAGGTCTCTAGAATCTCCAAAATGTAAATTCAGAAGTCGTTTGATCTCCAAATAGGAATTGGGGTTTCGAGAACTTATAAGTTGGCCTGCTCTACCTCTGAGCTTATTTTTAATGTGAATACCTTAATTAGACTATTAAGACAAAATTAGGTTCATATAAGAGATGACATTTCTTTGTGTACACACTAAAACACTAATTTGTTTTCCAAAGTTGGGTTTGCGTTTAATTAAATACCTAATACCTGGATAACTGCATTTAATTTTTGTAATATTCGCCATAAAGGAGGCCTGGATTTTTATTACCACTAATACGATAAAAATAGGAGGAAACTGTACAGTGCTTAATTAAAATTTCAATGCCTTTGTTATATTAAGTGCCCCCGTTACGGTTTTAGGCGCTTAAAAATGAATACGAGAAAAAAATTTCAAAGCAAAGCAAATAGGTAATTTAAGACAAGGGAAAAAAACAATACAGTTGTTCTTTCATCCATACAAGCTTCTATAATAAAAAGCTCCAAACGTGAAAAAGAAAAAACTAATGAGCTATTGTTTTGACCCTTGTTTCTTTCTCTTTGACTTATGCTATATTTTCTGTTTCAAGCTTTGTCCCAATTTACACCTCACCTCAATTCCCAAATGGTGAGTAAGTATCTAACAAAAGTGAAACATCGATATTTATGTTGAAACACAGCTCCATAAATATTCAATAAAGGCCTATATGGAGCAAAGAAATATTTTTCTTTTCTTTATAGCATCCATGTGTCTATGTCATTTACGGAGGCCTATTTTTAGGTGCTATAAATTTCTTGTGGAAGCTCAAAGCAATGAAAAATTTAATATATACTTTTCCAGGGTGTCTTGTTAACGGTAGAAACCGAATTGAAATATTTAAACTTTTCTTTCTATTGATACAGTGGAAACCAAGTTT